ACACACCCACACATACACACACACACCCACACACACACACACACCCACCCACACACACACACACACCCACACACACACACACACTCTCAATTGCCGGAGCCTGTCGCAACTGGGTGCTGAAGGCCTGCCGAACGAGCGCTTGTGGGAACTCACACCAGCTCGCAGCTGAGCTGCCAGCTCAAGTCTGCGGCCTGCAGAGAATGCTCCCGAGTCTACTTGAGCCTGGCTGGCCTCGGCTTTCAAGGGTGAGAAGGTTTGGTCCATGGCCGAGGCCGAGCCAAGTGGCGCTAGCGCTGTGTCTGCTTCCGACGGCCTCTTCGAGGACCAGCTGCATCAAATGCTCTGACCTGCCAATTTCAATTCCTCTTGCAACAAGTTCGGTGAGTCTCGGCTAGACTGGCCGCTGGAAGGAAGCCAGCAGGGCTGTTCCCGGATAGCCAGCAAGTCAGCGCGCAGCTTCTGCTGGGTCTGCTTCTCCCTGTGCGAGGCAACGATAATGGGAAGCTAAAAGCGACGGTAAAGGGTAAGGCACAGGCACAGCGATCTGAGCGTCGCGTTGTGCCAAATGCTGCCGCATCTGTTGCACCTGGATAATTACTGGCCGGCATCTGTACACTGTATCTTATGTATGTATGTTTGCATGCATGTGTATGTGTGCATTATGCCTGCATGCATGAAACGTGGTATAAATATGTATAGAAGAAGTAGACACATGTACACCTGCCGTCCCGTGATAACCTTCCAGTGTCTGTCCATGCCATCGAAATCCTGACAGATGCCAAGTGCCGTGCAGTAGCATCAGAGTGCACAGCAGGGCCTTGGTACATGTAAAGCATGGAAGACACTTTGCATATCTTTGCATGCAAGTGCGTTGGCTGGACATTGAGCGTTTTGCCGCAGGAAAGCAGATTAGCTGTGGCATTTTCGAAGTTGCGTCCAAGCTCAGAATGCTTGGCTCTGAGCTCCTGTGGTTACGGCACTGGCATGCAAGATGGCCGCACCAAAGTGTGCAACGAGTCCTCGAGCTCGGAAAACATGCCTTCGAGCGCATCCATGTCAAAGCGCCAAGTAGGTAGACCTTGCTGCGGGGGATTGAACTCAAGATCTTTCCATGCTGTAAAGGTGCCAGCGCGTGCAGAAGCTACGTAGCATCAACCAATCTATGCAAGGAGACTGCAAAGCAGCTCATCTCCCTCGGAGACGTCTTCGTCAAGTTGAAGCTTGTGTAGGCGATACACCTACCACAGGCGGAGTTATGATGCATGCAGGCACGGTCGTGCGGCCATGGTCTGAAATGCCACAACATCTAGAACATCTTTCATAGCTTGCATGAGGCTTCTGGCGGAGGCTTGTCACACGTGCGTCCTTCTCATCCACTCACAGAAACATAAGGCTTTCCGGCACTTCTGTAAACCACCATATTACCCGCTGTGAGAGTCTGTGCAGTCCACATCACAGCTCGTCTCTCTGGAGCTTCACACAGACCATGTGTACGAAATTCTGCATTTCCGGCGAAATCCGAAGCAGCCTTGCAAGGCTCGTTGGAAAGTGCTGGCTGATTCTCTTAGCTATCCACAAGAGGAAAGGCTTCGCAGAACAAGCACTGTTCCTGACTTTGTGAAAACCGAGCACTCTGCAGGGCACAGCAGCCGTCACGTGGATGTCAAATTATACTGAGGCAGCCCTGATTTTTTTCTGGATCCTCATCCCCCCCATCACATCATCTTTGGAAGGATGCCATCAATTGCCGGGTCAGGTTCCTAAAGGCCAACATGGCTTCACACAAGCACCTGCTGCAGGTGATCTGCCAAAGACGTGCCTGACAATGCTCCCTCGCTCTCTCCCCCCCATTTGTGTCTCTTCCTCCAGACTGTAGTTGCTCCAGTTCGCTCTGCTGTCCTATTGAATACACACCAGGCCAGTAAACGCCAAGGTCACGTGGCACAGGAGCCACTAAATTCACCAAATTAAGCGGGCATGCACCCCGGTGCGTGTCAATCACAACTCTCCGGCAAGCGAGTCTGAAGCTCTCTCAACAGCAGGAAGCAGAACAATCGCGCCTCAATGCCCTTCCCAATGTCAACCAATGAGGGATCCAGCCTGCAAGCAGTAATTGGCTATGTTCAACTATGCTCACGCAAGACGCATGGACGTCGTGTAAGAATCCGAAAATGTTATTCTCACGCTGTCTCACACACTCTGCAATTATGTTTGCTCGTTCCCCCACCATCCCAGAGCTTCCACCGAATTCGAGCACATCCACATGCCGTTGAGCAGTCAGTCTTCGTGCTCCGAACAATCGAAATCAGCATCATGAGCATCATCAGGGCGACCTTGATTCACAATCCTGCCACAGAAGACCTACCTCTGACTTTCCTGCCTTCCGGGTGCTGTGTTACGCTGCCGCTAGCTTCCGACACGTTCATCATTTGCAGGTTTGAGAATGGATACGCAAAATGGTGGTCTGTACTGCATCGAAGTTTTACGTTCTTGTGCCATGGGAGTGGAAAGGTCCGGACTGCACGTTTGTTCCACAAAAACAAGACTTCCGACAAACGGATGAACAAGCTCGCCACGTCTCGCCTTGACACAAACTCTGCAGCGACTTGACGGGACCTTTGCGAATCCAAGATACCAAAGTCCGAAGATACTGTGCTAGGGCTGCTAGGGCGTTGACGTTTGGAGCATGTCGGGAGGCACCTGCGGAGCTCCAAGAACTGGCAAAGGCCAAGCAGTTTTGGCGCTTTGAGCCTCAAAGGCCCGAAGGGCACAGGAGACTTTAGCCATGGCTTGGCTCCGCAGATCAGCTTGCGTAGTGGTCGTTGAGTCGTTGTCTTTTTCTGCAACTGCCAGCGTCTGTAAGGACATGCAGTGTAGTGCCAGAGTATGCCAGATTCTTTTGAACCGGTTTGGAAAGTTACCTCACATGGGATATGCAAGGTATCGCGTCCGGTGCTCCTCATGATGCAGCAGGGTGCGGCCTGTTGAGCCACTCAAGCACAGACCCTATGCCAGAGCGTCTGCACTCAGCGGCTCGAGTCTCCAGATTCCACCTGCACCGATGTCCATCCATCCCGTCTCTGCCGGTGCCGGAGGGCATGGACCTAAGAAACAGCTCAAAGGCTTGCGAGGCCGTATGAAGCCCTGCTAGCTTCCTCAAGGGCTCAGACTGCATTAGGATTCTTCTCCACGGCATAGAGCTCCATCTGAACCTGAAGGATCTGCTGTGCCCTCGTGCTCGCGCGCTTTCTGCCGGCGGCCTCCGCCTGCGCTGCTGCCTTCACCGCTGCTTCCACCAGAGGACCGCGCCCGGCACCCAGGACCATCACCTCGGGGAGTGCCAAAAGGCATATCGGCGCACCAACAATCTTACTTCTCCGCTTGTATGTGCCTTCCCTCCCGAAAAACGGAGCAATGAGTCACACAGAAGGGTGGAGGTCTTCCCTGTGCTCGGCGGTCGCAGAAAAAGGAAAACAAGGCCTCCGATCGTTCGCAAATGTTCGCAATTCCCGGCGGTTCTGTCTCCAGACCCACTAAACAGGCAACATGCCAGCCCGGCGCGCTGATAGTTGGCCTAAGGCACTGGGCAAAAGACTTAGTTTGCCTCAGGCTCCATACTGTTGCGTGCCTGAGGTCCCAACATACTTGACTGGATCTTTTTCGAAAAGCTCATAGGTTTCGGACTGACGGGGAACAATCAATGCTTCAGTTAGCGTGTCGTGATAACACGGGACAGAGATGAACAGGCGAGGAATAACGCACGGACCCTCATGACTCATGACAATGAAACGCAACATTATCCTGGCAAGACCGATGCTGCGGGGTGGTGGCAATCACAACGGCTGCATGATTGGCTCATATAGTTAGGTCACTAGGTGACTTTGAGGAGTCCTCCAGGTTGTCTGCAAGTGGCTGCAAAGGGGCCTTGTCAACATCGCTCTCTCAGGGGAGCAAGGTACAGAATCAGCAGCAGACCTTGATACAAGAAAATGCCTGCCTGCAGGGTGTCCAAGTGCGAATATGCAAACCGCTCTGCTTGTGAGAGCGCAGGCAAGTCCTCAAGATGTTACACCGAGGAAGAATGCGCTCAACCTCTTTTCTGCCCGGATGGAAGCTGTTTTGAATGCGAGTATGGCAAGCTGCTAAACTACAGGACTAACTACATCTAGACGCGCGAAATACAATCAAGAAAGCAGGAGTGTCTATAGGCGCTGGTCGTGCGCGACCGGTACATGTGCTTGTCTGGCCAGTAAACATCGCCGTTTGCACCTCTGGCTGGTCTCTACCAGTCCAGTACGTTGCTGCGTAAACGCGGTGGCTTGCAACGCAGTGCAAGGGTTCGTTCTGGCAGAGTAGCTGTGTTCGCATGTGAGTCTTTCACGTCATTCGCAATGCTTCCTCTTGCTCTGCTCTTATCTACACTGAGGTCCTGGAAGAGACGTGCCAAGTACGACAGACGCGTCTGTATACCCTGCCACAAGACGGATGTTCACGCACAGCTGCAATGCACAAGTTCAACATGGAGCTACTGCACCTCATGATCGCCTGCATCCACTGCCGTTGCATCGGGCCCAGACACGATGAGCTGCACCTTTCATGCGCGGCGATGCGCGGCGCTGTCACCGGGGAGGTGCAACAGCAGCGGCCTTGCGTCGGAAGAGCTGCTGGAGTAAAACCTCAGCTGAAAGCTGCCGGATGTTCGACGCTAGGAAAAACCCGTGCCCAGCCGGAAATCATGCGAAATCAGCTGTCCTCTGTCAGGAACTGGTAATGCTCGCACACAGCCGTTGTCAAGCCAAGCCCAATCAGCATGCCAACGGTTCCGGACCCCGTGCAGATGCCTCACCGACACATCACTGTACGATTGCGATCTCCACACACCCACGTTGAGAAATATTGAGACCACTGAGAGCTCTGGATGAGGCTTGTTTTTGGCTGCGGCTACGCCAACGTTCGTTGTTTGATGACAGCAGATGTGGAATTGCTTGGCTGGCATATCCAGTAGCAACAGCAACCTTCAACATGGGGCCCCACTTTGCCCTTCTTCGGTAGGACAGGATAGCCAGACCTGGATGGCAAATTGACGGCGAGTCATGACCGCTTCAGAACATCGCGAGAGCATGCCGCACCGTTTCGTGGCCTATTCAGAATGAACGCAGAGGACGGCAGCACCACGTATCTCACGGGCTCGGCCAACCTCGAGCACCGTCGGGCTAAGTTGGTATACCTTCCGCTAGCAGCACTTGTTGAATTATAAGCAACATTTGGGAAGGCTCGATTCTGCAGGCCGCTGGAAGATGCTGGAAGTCTGCTCGTACTAGTACAGAAGTCACTGGCAGCGACAAGGAAGGTGTTGCCGATGATTCAAACCGGTAGTGACAGCATCGACCCGCGGCACGAATATCCATCAACACATCTATGGCCGCAGCCATCGCTCCAGCTCCTAGGTGCTCGTGCATGCCAACACAAGGACAAACAGGACACATCATGCCTAACAACTTTCATGAACAGCCGCGATGTCGATGTGCTGCTGGTTCAGCATCAGCAAAGCCGAAGAATTCCTCGGGCAGGAACCCTCTCCGTCGCGCCGGTCACCGTCAACTCCAAGGCAACACAAAGCCTTGCAAAGGGCCATTGACACCCCATTAACCCTGTGAAAGTTCGATGCCATGCCATGCATGTTGCGTGCAGGGGGGCATGTTCATCTGCCAAGGGCGCTGCCGATGGTGGCAGTGACCCGACAGCGTACGAAAACGATTCCACCTTGGGTGCATGTTTCTACGCGCGCAAGCTGCACACTTGCACCTGCGCACGAACACCTTTTCCGCACTGTTTTGCGTCAACGTCATGGTGCCAAGCTCTCCGCGCAGACCACCCCGCGGCAGCTGCAGGCACGCGCAGGGCAACTGGTGCCACATCCTTCTGCAAGCAGTTTGGCCGGCGTCGGCTTTTGATGTGAACATGAACGACATCGATGACGTTGTCATTGAACTGCCATGATTTCCTTCACATTGCAGTTTGAGTTGATGCTGCTGCGCGCTTCTTGCATTTGTCGTGCGTTTGCTTTTGTTGCCAGGTTGGCCAGATAAGTGGATGGTGGCTGCAGTTGGTGCTTTTGGCTTTTGCTACGGCTATTGTACTAGGTGATAGTGGTGGTGTCCATTTACGGTGGCCGTGCCGTGGTGGTGGCGGTGCTGGTGGTTACTCCAGCTGTCTCAGTGCTTGTCATCGGTGCTTGTTGTTTCTGCACTGCTGTTCTTCTTCTTCTTCTTGTTATCGGTGTTGTCCTTGTCGTTTTCGTCGTCGTTGTTGGTGGTGGTGGTTCCGACAAAATGACCATCCGCACATGCCGTTTCTGTCAGTATTTGCGGTGCTTCTGTGGTCGAAGCGATTCGGCCCTCGCAGTACATCGCGCAACAGGCCGGAACATCGGCATGTATGGTATTTCTTCAGCTTCTAGTGCCGACAACACAGGTATGCATCATGGCCCAACTACATTTGACCAGTGCAAACCTTCTCGGTAGCATCCATGGCCAAACCATGATAGAGTCTGTGTGTTCCTTGCGTCCATGGTCTAACCCGTTTGGAGTAGATAGCATCTGTGGCCCAACCACGATGCCGTCCATGCTCTAATTCGTTTTGAATGGGAAGCATCCATTGCCCATGATGTCGTCCATGGTCACATCCGTCCATGTCTAACCCGTTTTGAGTAGAGAGGATCCATGGCCCAATGATGATGACATCCAGGGTCTCATTTGTCCGCGCTGAATGGACGCCTATGATGAGGTCCGTTTGACCAGTCCCCGGGAGCATCCATGGCCAAGCCATGATAGAGTCGGTGTGAGCAATGCATTCGTTCCCCAATGCATCCCAAGAATGATGACATCCACAGTCTGATCCGTGTCGGGTGGAGAGCATGCATGGCCCGTCCATGGTCTAACCGTTTGGAGTGGAGCGCAGGCCCAACCATGATGGGGCCCGTGAATCTGTCCGGGGTCTAGTCCGTTTCGCATGGAGCGCATCCATGGCCCAACCATGAGCACGTCCATGGTCTAATCGGTGTTGAGTGGAGAGTATGCATGGCCCAACCCATGATGACGTCCATGGTCTAATCAGTCTAAACCGTGTTGAGTGGAGAGCATCCATGGCCCAATCATGATGACGTCCATGGTCTAATCCGTCCACGACTTAACTTGTTGTAAGGTTTTCAATCGAACAGCATCAAAGGCCCAACCGTGACGACGTTCATGGCCTACTCCGGTCTTGATTGAAAGCACAAGAATGGTGGTCTAATCCGTCCTCTGATCCCTGGCGCTGTTGCTGCTGACTCTTGCTCGCAACTCTGTTTCTGGTCCATGCTAAGACCTCGCAGGGTTTTGACCTTCCCCCCGGTGAAGGGAGTAGTTCTGAAAGCACACGTGCGAAAGCAGCGGACGGCGCATCTTCGCCGGCCCAGTGTCTTTCTGCAGCCTATGCTGCTCGGCCGCACAACCAGCGTCAGAGAACAGTCCTACAGCTACGTCTTCCCCATCTGCGGTTGCAAATATCGACGGATGTTTTTGCGACTGGACGGCCTGTGGCTGCATGCTGCTATTATAGACGTTGCAATGGGGCACAGTCCAGGGACAAAAAATATATTAGTATCTACCAAACTTCAGGAGAACTATGGGCCTCCTTTAGCTGGGAGTTTTCTAGAACAAAAAGGTGCAAAAAAACCCAACTCCGAACCTTTGGAGCTTTAGGGTGAAAGGCTTGGAGCCGTGGGGATCTAGAAATGGAGTCTTGCGTTCATCAGAGTTTCGAAGTCTTGAGGTTTGGGGTCATGGATTCATGGATTTAAGGCTGGCTTGTAGGGTTGGAAGGCGTGGAGTAGGGGCAAAGGGTGTTTAAGCTGTGCGGTCAGAGTCTTGAGCTTGGGGCTTTGGGGGCTTAGGCCCGGAGTTTAGGGTTCAAGTCAGGGCTTTAGGGTTTGATTTTCAGCATCGGGCTTAGAGTCTTGGGCTTAGGCGGTTTGGGGTTAAAGTGTCGGGTTAAAACTCAATGACTCCACAATCTTCACGGGTTTAGGGAGACAATCTTGGGGTGACAAGCCCCGTGTTTGAGGCTTTATAGTCCGTGGTGGTTGCTTGCCTTGTTGCTGGTTTCCGGCCCTTCGCACTGCTTGTTCTTTTCAAGTTGCCGGACTGGATTCACCACCATCAGACTTTAAAAGCGCAAAAGCACACAATTTGTAGGGCTTTCTCAACAACTGTCACACGAACCGCAGGCGAAATATCCAGCACAAAGGGGGCGCTCCAGAAAACCTTTGAACTACACGCCAGAATCACACGAAGCATGTCGAACACCACGGTATTTGCCACACTCCGCCCCATCCACGAGAAAAGAAGAGTAGTGAGCCATTGTAAAACCACACAGCGCCAACATTGGCCTCCGATGCAGATCTAAACAACAAGCGACGGACCCCCCGCGACGGTCAACGCCCCCCCGATATTTTCTTGCTCTTCTTATTCTTGTTGTGGCTGTTTTCGCTGCTGCTGCTGCTGCTGCTGCTGCTGGCCTTGTTGTTGTTGTTGTTGCTGCTGCTGTCCCTGTCGTGGTTGTTGTGGTTATTGTGGTTGCTGCTGTTGTTGCTGTTGGTGCCGTTGGTGCTGGCTGTCGTTGTTGCTGTTGTTGTTGGAGCTGTTGCAGCGGCTGGTGCTGCCGCTGTTGGTGTTGTAGCCGCCACGGATCAGACTGGCGGGATAGTGCGAGTGGCTTTCGAACGGGCTTTTGGCCCCAACTCCTCTAGAGGTCTCCACCAGACCTCCAGCACCGTCAGGTGAGTTGGCCCCGCCTTCGAGCCATGTGCCATTCTTGCTGAGCCAATCTGCCTTCACCAGGTCCCAATTCCTGGACCCAGTCACTGTCTAAAGCCTTGATCACTGGGGAGGCGGCAGGGTTTCCACCTTCCGCGCAGTGGAGAGAACTACTTGTAGCGAAAATAGCGGACGGCGTCGCTTCCAGGCGCAGCGTTCAATTGAAACTCATTGTTGTTGTTGTTGTCGTTGTTGTACCTGCTCGCTTGACCTGTCTACGGCTTCACACCATAACTTCCTCGTTAACTGCTACACGCATCTTCCAGCAGAAGGCACATGTTTCAGGCGAGCAGCACACAGTGATTCGTCATTCGCACCGCTCAAACAAGCCGCTGCACAGTGCCGACCCGCAGATGCCAACATTTCCTTCCGCCAGAACCGTCCTCGGCACTCCGCCACCTGCACTATGCCGAGGTCCCTTTGTAACAACCGATCAGACCGCTATTGCTGATGTTCGCTGAGCTGAGCTCGGCACCTTACGGCCCATCGCCATCGTCTGGGAGTGACCAAGTGTGGGCTGCCACTAGACTGGCACGCAGGGACCCGGCTCTATCGAGTATGACCCACCAGACTTTGGTTCGTGAGAATCGAACGCGTTGGCTCACGCTGAGGGTGACGGGAGCAGCTTCACGGTACAAAGCTCCCGGTAAAGCTGACGTCCTATTCTTTCGGAGGAGTAGCTTCCAGGAGACGGCACACGGACTAGCCATCTTGAGCCTATGTACAGAAGTATTACGCTGATGCAACTCATCTTTCCATTCAGGCCGAACAACGTCCGAGCCTTCAACAGCGCAACGCCTTGACCATGCGAATCATGGTCTAGACAATGACCCGCAACGGCCTTGATTTATATTGGCTCTCACATTCTTTCTCCAAAGCTCTGACTTCTGTACAGCCTGGTGCTATGGCAGTCCAATAACAAAGTTGTTGTTGTTGTTGTCGTCGTTGTTGCTGTTGCTGTTGCTGTTGCTGTTGCTGTTGCTGTTGCTGTTGGTGGTGGTGGTGGTGGTGGTGGTGGTTGGTGGTTGTTGTTGTCGTTGTTACCAACTTCCTCGATTTCGATTTTGGGTCTGCAGCCTTACGAAGAGCTGTGGCAGTCCTCAGTTGCTGCCATGGAGTACAGCCCGTCATGTAGCAAAGCCTGATGAATAGCTGCTATTTCCAGCAGAAGAACGCAAGTCGGTGACTCGGTGCACAATGTCTTGTTGAGGTCTGGGGCGCATGCCCCAACAGTCCTGGCGTAGTTACATCCACTGGTGTTGCCGGCACTGGCATCTCCTTGGCAGTCATTGCAAAGACGGCCCCACTTGACGGACAAACGAACACGCAAAATCCCGAAGGACAACTCAAGACTCGCTCGTAGCTGGGCCCCCTAGAGGCACTTCACATCCCGTGTGTCGCCAAGCAACTGGGTGGGGGAAGAATCACGCACTGCAGGCCCAAGTGTGCAGCCTGCGAGGCAGAGTTCAGGCGAGTCGGAGACGGGGCACCGAGGGGCGCTACACGGCTGTTGGAACACTACCAGGCACTGACTCATGGCACATGGCACGATCATTCTTTTATACTCTTTTTGAAGGTCGATCAAGCAGTGCGGCTCCGTGCCGCCCACGCATAGCTCTGGTTAGCCTGCCGTGCACGCAGAAATCGTGATGACAGCTCGCTGGCAACGACACCGGCGTACTGGTTGTGTGCCCAATCCACATACTACACGATGGTTGAGCTAGTTTGAACTCTTGTGTCACGCATACAGGGTGTCCTAGCGTAGACTGGAACACAGGCCAATGCTCCTTC